GCTTCTGCGTTGGGGACATAGCAAAGTCATTATGTTCTAGTCATAGACACGTGGCGGACTGCTATTGCGAATTTGTGTGGTTGACAAGACAAAGTTGTCGTTGTTCGGCGGTTTAATCATGAGATGGTTCACTGCTCTTTTTGTAGCATTTAAATCCTTGTTTCTCCAGGAATTTCCTCCCCGTTCTATGCCTTTCTCACTTTGTTTCTTTTCTTCAAAGAACCCTTTCGATCTTTCCTTACATTCTTCCATGGATGTCGCTCGCCCTTTAGGAAGGGAACTCACTGCTGAGGAATGAGAATCCTTCCAATTCCGGTTTGGGTTTTTCCCTGAACATGGGTTCAAATTCCTATCCCTGATGTATCACTCTAGAGTCTCCCTGAGCGCAAGGTCGGCATTTTGATTGCTTTGTTCCAGGCAAGTCTACGCTTACCCACTACAAACTTTTTCAACCTAGTTATTCGTAAATATAGGTTTTCTGTAAGGGAACTGACCCTAATCACCATAAACAAGATTGTGGGCTTTAAGCTTCTCTGTTGTGCCCTAGGTTACCAGCCGACTGTCCGACGTTCAAGCACTTTTTCAATGCTTCCACCCAATCTGGGACTCAGATCCTTTCTCGCCGACGAGGAGTCCCTACCCTCATCCATAATCAAAAATCCAAAAAGAATTGGCAAGAGAAGTTTTTGTGGGTGAACAATAAACTTGTGGTACTTAACTAACTAAGACCAAGGCGTATGTAGACCGTTTTCCAACGCTCTTTGGTGTTAACAAAGAGTTGGCAGATGCCCTAAAGAAGGTTAGCATCTATGGTGAGGACTGGTTCAACTGCTTCTTGGTTGCTGGGGGGATGAGCTTCGCTTGGAGGACTCGTGGGAAAATAAACGAGTTTTTCATCGAGAGATATGGTATGCCGCTTGTAACGCCCGTAGATCCGGGCTAGTCAATTTAGAGATAATAGGGGTCGAAAATGACTCTTCGACAAAAGATTATTTAGAATAAATAATCTTAAACAAGTTGTATAATATGTCTAAAGGGTTCTGTACATATAAAGAGCACCGAAATCCGAGTTATAACGAAAAAGTTATGGCTCGTCGAAGTTTTACGACAAAACCGACACGACACCGGAAGACGTAAAAAAATGAATTTATGATAGAGCTTCTTTTAGACTTAGTAATATAAATGAAATTCGTAGAATATGTTAACCTGAGAGCGTCCATAAAAAGAACGCCCAAATCTGACTTTTTATGAGGAAGTCATGATTTTTCGAAGTTTCGGCTTAGCGGTGTGCAGCCCAAAGTTCGAATATTAGATCGAGCGGTTTTTAGCCGACACACCCTAAAAGAGAATCGAAGATCTCGTTATTATTAGTGTAACGATAAAAAGACAGGAGAAAATGGACATCGGATGAAGAAGTTATGAGATTTTAACGGACCAATCATGTCCTGGCCTGTTAAAAATATAAATTTAAAAGTAAAGTCAAAATTAGCTGACGGAGTCTAAACGAAAGTTGTAGAGTATGTCTCCATCTACACGTGGATATAAAGAACGTAAAAAACGGAGTGCGTATGAACGAGTTACAAATTATAATAGCATATTTATGTATTAAAATAAAGTATAAATCATTTATACGTACATATATATATATATATATATATATATATATATATATATATATATATATATATATATCATTAAAAAGGTATCGATGATGCGGTCATTATAAGACTAATGTTGAGTTCTTTCGATATTAGTTTAGTACAAATATCATTAAATCCATTTAAAATAGTATTATAGAGGGGTGTTTAGTTGTTTATATAACTATAAGGTCATTAAGTAATTATGGAGGGTAGTTTTTGAAAATTCAATTAGTATAAATAAGAGCCTTGGGCTCTCATATTTCTTGCACCTATCTCTTGAGACTTAATTTAGAAAATTTTGGTAAAATTAATTAGGATTCCATGTTGGAATTATGTTGATAATTGCATGAAGACCCAAATGTTTAGTTGAGTCAATATACATTCTAGTGCATTTGTGGCTTCCTTATTCCAGTAAAATCATGGGACAAAAACACGACCTCGCTTACCCGAAGGATGTAATATGTTTAGGATCGTGTACTTGAAATGTATCCAGGAAGACTAATATCTTTAACCAATAAAGGTTGAAGTTGAGCGCCCCTGCTTAAGCATGTAGGATTTGAGTGAGAAAAAAAAAGTGAGTTACATGTGAAAAAAGAGAAAAAGAGAATTACAAGAAAAAGTTATAAGAATTTTGGAGCGGTCAAAAGTGAAGATCAAAAGATCAAATTCCAATAGCTCCATAGTGGTATCGAAAAGTTGTAATTTTCTAGATTATGTATGCTTGGGTTGCTCAACCAAAAATACCTTGAGGATAGGAGGTTTTCTGCAGATGGATTCGGAGGGATGCATAAAATGAGCATTGTTCGGGATAAATGGGTGAATGTTTATGAGGATTGTAAGTATTTGGAATATTGGGGGGTTTTAGGGAAATTTTAGACACAAATGCACGTGTTGCGGTTTTGGCGTAATGCCTGGGTTCGATTGGAGTTGTCCTATGTGATTCTAATGTACTAAAATTCAGTTTTGCTTGGGGGCAAGCAAAAGTCAAGTGTGGGGTATTTTGATATTTGCATATTTAGTCTTATATTAAGTATAGATTTTTATCATTTATTAGCTAATTAATTGCATATCATGGACGAAAGATACCTAAAAGTGTTTGAATTGTATTTTCAGTCCAAAACCGAAGCTCGGAAGCAAAAGGAAGCAGGAGAAGCGGCTAGGAGCTTGGGAGTTGAGCAAAGAAGAAAAATGCTAAAAACACAAGGTACTCGGTGAGTAGGGTCGACTACTTGGCGAGTCGATACGAATATTCGAGAAGCTAAGAACTCATTGACTTACTGTGTACAGGAATTAAGGGGTGGACTTGACGAGTCGGTCATGGACTCGGCGAGTTAGGGCGAATCTATAACAACAACTTTTCAAATTGACACAAATAATTTTGGAACCCTAGGGGAGAAGCAAGCTGCGAATTAAAGTCAGAAGAGACCTGGAGAATGAAGATAAAACCCTATATCCAATTCCGAAGGAGATTAGAGGCAATTTTCATTATTCTTAATTCAATCTATTGTTTTTCATCATGTTTAGACAATTAGATTTCATTTTTATGCTGTCAATTGCCCCAATCATGAGCTAAAACCTTGTAACTTCTGTTTGGGGAGACAATATTGAGACTATGAGTTGATTTATGGTAGGATTGATTTAATATTGGTGACTTTGTTGATTTTAGCTTGTTAAAGAACCTTATGTGTGAATGATAACTATTTTTCTGTTAATAGGAAGGGAATTAAGTTGCATGAACATCTCTTAATTATTTACCTCATATGATCTATGTGACCACTTTATTATATGACTAGGATTAGCGAATGTGAAACTAGAATTAACTAGAAAATAGGTAAATTCATGTGTAAGCTTGTGTGATAACCATCAACAAGAGGTTAACTAAAGGACCAATTTAGTTGACCATTACAAGTCTTAATCAACCCGAACAAATAATCTAGTGAATTAAATTAAATTAGACAATTGACCACTGTTTGAGTTAGTTTGTTCTCTAAGGATTAGTGCAGCGAACGTGAATTTAATCACTTGACTCGGTAGCCAATAGACAAATCAATCCATTGCACTATTGTCATAACATCAACCATATGATCAACTGAGTTGAACTAAACAGAAGTCCCCTTCATTATTGAATTTAGTTGAATCTTCGCTTATCTAGTTTTTAGTTAATTAGTCTAAGTATTAGTTAGTAAGTTTCTAGTCTTGGAAAACTAGAGAAAACCCCTTTTATTACTTAATTTTTAGATAAGATTAGCTTTTAGTTTTAATTTTTCGTTCCCTGTGTTCGATACCCTACTTATTTAACTTTACCACAATTGATAGGTCCACTGTCTTTGTGTGTTTATTTTATAATTAAAAGTAGGATTAAAACTAGTTGGATTTTACACACATCAAATAAATATATATAGTTGGAGTATTAGCCTACTATATAAAATAAATTAGAGAAAATTGTTTAATTATTATGAATTAAATTTTATAAATACCTACAAAGAAGAATATAGTATAATTTAATATTCTATAGAGAACTTTTTATAAACCGTACATATCAAAATATTATGTTAAAAAATAATTTAGTAAATTTATAAATTATTAAAAAGATATATGAAAAATAAATTACAAATTATTATTCGATTTTTTTATCCTATTTAGTTTTTATTTTATAAACTAATCTAAAATCTAAAATAATAATTCATTTTTACTAACGGAAACAAATATGCTTATTCTAGTAATCCAATTGAACAAGGAAACAAATATTCTTATACTAGTTATCCAATTGAACAATAAAAAAAATAACATGTTGAAGTGGCTATACATGCAATTATAGACCGCAGTGGATTTCATTATTTTATTAAATATTACAATACTAAATATTATATTATTTACATTTATTTGTTAGATCATTATACTACATTAATTTATTATTGAATAGATATATTACATAATAAAAAAACATTTATATATTCAAATATATGTAAACTAAGTTAACATTTTTGACATATTTCCACTTTGTAACGTCTTAACTATTTAAATATTCCATAAACTAAGTTAAATTAAATATACTTTCTTATTAAACTACTATATATATCCTAAGAAGTATCTGTTAATTGAACAATATACTATTATATTAGTCAATATTGTTTTGGATATCTCATAATCATCGAAACGTTTTAATGTTGAACTAGCTGGTCGTGATATCTGTGATACAAATACAAACTCCTTTGACAAGGTATACATTTTGGGATTATGGGACGCATATCATAAAAATCAATTATCTAGGAATATAATAATATATATAATTAAGTAAATACTTTTTGATTAAACAAAATCCAATGAATTACAAGCAACCATGGTGTACATAAACCTATCCTATCTACCCAAAGAAAGCTCAATTGCAGTTCCTGCAAGATTCACGGAAAGCATGATCATATCCTTAGAAAAGTTTCCATCTGGGATCTTCATCTCTATCGAAAGATTACATGGCAAGAGGAGATTCTGATCATTCTTGTTACTGATGGAGAGTTTGATTGCAGAATCTGAAACATCGGTTTTGTTCCCGAGTAATTCATGGGGTAACAAGATGTTCTCACCTCCGCTGCATCTTGATTGACACCTGTCACTGAATTCTTCTGTGATGGTTTTGTCTTTCTTTGGAGTATTATCGTGTTTACTTGCACGATCGGAAAACCTGCCGCCGCCCGTTGATTCACACAGTTGATGCGGCAACATGACTTCTTCACCGGCAATCCTACTCCTATCGCGGCCAACGGCTTCATGAGGCAAAACAACGGTGTTGTCTATCTTAGCACTAATTTTACGCTTGATTTCATCATCGGAAAACCAGCTGCTGCCGACTGATTCGCACGGTTGATGAGGCAACAGGATTTCTTCTCCGGCAATACGGCTCCCATTGCTGCCAAAAAATTCATGAGGCAACATGAGGTTTTTGTCTTTCTTTTGACTAACTGGGCGGTTGATTGCATGGCCACCTTCGGAAAACCTGCTGATGCCGGTTGATTTACAGAGTTGGTGTGGCAACAAGACTTCGCCGGCGGAAGCCATCCCGCCGTGTGTTGACCGACAATATTCGTGTGGCAGTCGAAGGCCTTCTTTCATAGAACACGTTCTGGTTTTGGCTTTGATCACTCCGGCATCACCGTCGTTGAACTTGCTATCCATCAATTTAGCCATGGAAGATCGTTGCGAAGGTTTATCGTTGTGGAGACGATTTGTGGAAGAAGAGGTGCGAGGGAGGGGGTATATATATTGCGTTGGTGGTGGTGTTTGAATGTAAAGATTTTCTCTACAAAAGGCAACTTTCCTTTTATCACACAATCATACAATAAAACCAAAGTAGTCTCCACGTAATAAAACCATAGTTTCATAGATCCCCATATCCGCATAAAATATAAAATACACGGAAAATTACGATATGACTGGGGTAATAAAAGGAAAGTTGTATAATTGTGTTTTTTATTGCTAATACAAACACGACACGAACACAAATTTTAATTTTAGTTTCGTTCTAATTTCGTTTCGTTTTATGTAATTTTGTCGTGTTGTGTCATAAATTGTCACCCTTAGATATGACCCTTCTATTTATTTTGATTTTACCCGTCACTAATATATATATATATATATATATATATATATATATATATATATATATATATATATATATATATATATATATATATATATATATGTTCAGGTTCATTTGAGACCATTCTAATTTTGTGAAACCGTGAGACCAAATCTAAAAATAATTTTAAAATGCAAAATAAATGGAAAAATCCAAAAATTCTTTTTTTAAATATTATTTTCGGAACTTGAATTAACTAAAAAAAATAAAAAATATATATATAAAAAAAAAAAAAAATTCTGTTTTTTTTTTTTTTAAAAAATACGTGAAATATTCTAAATAAAATATTACACTGACATATTCTAAAAAATAATTTTAAAATGCAAAATAAATGGAAAAATCTAAAAATTCTTTTTTTAAATATTATTTTCGGAACTTGAATTAAATAAAAAAAAATAAAAAAAATAAAAAAAAATTCTATTTTTTTTTAAAATACGTGAAATATTCTAAATACAATATTACACTGTACATATTCTAATAATAATTTTAAAATGCAAAATAAATGGAAAAATTAAAAAAAAAATTTAAATATTATTTTTGGAACATGAATGAACTAAAAAAAATAAAAATAAAAAATAAAAAAAATGCATCTCACGGTCTCACAATATATAGGTGGTCTCAAATGAACCTAACATATTATATATATATATATATATATATATATATATATATATATATATATATATATATATATATATATATATATATATATATATATATATATATATATATTAACAGAAGTGTTTTTTGGTCGGATCGAGTTGGTAAATTTTGACAAAATAAAGCGATATTGACTTTTTTTTTTTTTTTAACTTTTGGTTCGTATACATTTCTCTCATACATATAAAAACCTTTTAATTGAAGGGTTTTTATATTGAAGGCTTTTTATATAATTACTCCTCCTCCTTTTTCAACCCCAATCTTTTGATGTAATGTTTTTTTTTGTTGTTTTCTTTTGTTTTTTCTCTATTTGTTTTTTTTTTTTTGTTATTTTTAATTTTTTATATTTATTATTATTATTATTATTATTATTATTATTATTATTATTATTATTATTATTATTTTCGATAACCATATAAAATTCGAACAACGTTTTAAAATTCAGATTATATTTTAAAATTTGGACGACATTATAAATTTGGACGACATAATTAAATTCAAACGACTATATAAAACGGAACAAACATAAAATTTGTCTATATTTATTACGGATATATTAATTGGTTTAGTATTACATTTACGTTGTGCATTATGCGGATTGAAAACAAACTTAATCCCAACGAGAATAGAAGCGAGTAGTTTCCGGCTTGGCTTGTAGTCGTAGTCTTTTAGCTTATATAGTCGTTGGCCTTCCTACATGCACGCGCCCGCCAGAATGCCTCCTTGGTTCTTTACTTTTGTTCCATTTTATATAGTCGTTCGAGTATTATAATGTCGTTAGAATTTATAATGTTGTTAGAATTTTAAAATGTTGTCCGAATTTAAATGGTTATCGAAATTTATAATAATAATAATAATAATAATAATAATAATAATAATAATAATAACAATAATAATATATAAAATAAAATAAAAGTAATAACAAAAAAAAACAAAAAAAAAACAAAAAAAAGAAAAAAAAAAGAAAAAAGAAAAAGAATAATGTCCAATCAAAAGTAGAAAGGTTGATTAGATTCATGTTAGAGGGGTAAAATTGATTAATGGAGATACTTATAGCACAACCCTTAATCGAATCCACTCTTGCCTATGCTTCCTCTCTAATTGAATCCACCAACATCTTCAACCGGATGTTTTGAGATCATTGATTGAAACACAACTGTTCTTTGATTCACATAGATTGTGTATTTGATGGTTAACTGTGTCTGTGTCGTCGTCATCCCTCTTCTTCCTCAACATCGATCTCCTTTTCTGGCTCACCAGCCTCATCCAATCCAGCAACTGGGAAATTAATCAACCCAACATTGAATTCATCATTCGATCTTAATTCCTAGATCCAATGTTGTAAAACTCACCGAGTTGGCCGATTACTCCTTCGAATACTCGCTACTCCCCCCCCCCCCCCTTCCGAGGCGAGTTACATAATCCCGAGTACTCTCCGATCGTCCCCTTACGAACTGAGTAGTGTTGTGAAATGCGGTCAACTCGGTGATTAATATGTATAACATATTTAATGACTTATTATTTAACACACACACACATGTGATTATTACTACATATATATCTTAAATTTTCAGTAATTATTCACGAAGTGAGACCATTATGTGTTTTTCATTTTTTTTTTTTTTGTATTCACATGTATCCAGTTTTGTTATATATTTCAATCAACTTATGAATTTATATTATGATTTTGATATAAATAATTTCCTAAAAATATTTCTACACAAATTTCCAAATCCGAGTACTCTCCGAGTACTCCCGAGTACTCGCTACTCAGTAGTCGTCCGAACAGGTACCGAGTAACGAGTTCTACAATCTTACCTAGATCCCCAATTAACTCAATTGTTCATCTGTTTCTAACAATTTTACATTTCTATGGTTTTGTAGATGATAGATGTGTACTAGATTGTGATTCTGGTGATGCTATTGCATTACTTTCAGACTCACCCTCCTTCGCAATTTGACTTATTGAGGTCGAGCGTTGCGGTGGAAACCCTAATTTCTCGGGTTTGGGACCTATTTAAGGACCCTTATAGCCACCATTTGCGGCTACCAGACCCTTGAGAGAAACCCTAAGAGTGTTTGAGCGTTTGTGAGAGGAAAGAAGCCATTGTTTGATCATTATGGGTAGATTTTGCAAGAAGAAGGTGGTTCCAGCTTAGAGGAGGCCAAGAAGGTTGCATATCTGTGGATCTCGAGCAAAGAACATCATCCTTGAGATAGCATATCGATCCTTTTTATGTTTTGTTGAAGAATCCATGGATCTAGGGTTTTCTATACCCTTTATTGGGATGATTGTTGGATATATGGTCCCTTATCATATTTAGACTTCGGATCTGGACCCATAGTGGTCCAGAGAGCTTCATCCATCTTGCTTTATGATGAGTTATGGAAGAAATGGACTTAGGATGTTGTATTTGGGGCAAATGCTTCAAGTAGAGTTATTTGGACGATGCATGAGTATCAAGTTTGAACCTTTACGTGTTTATTGAGCTTGAGAAGGTCAGATCTATGGATTAGAGGAACAGATCTGACCTCAGAAGGCCATTTGAGTTCGAACATATAATGAATTCGCCGAATCTATAAGCAGACTCGACAAGTCGGACAGGGTTGTCCCGTGACTCACACAGTTGGTGACTTGCTGAGTTAGGGGAATGACTCGGTGTGTCAGTTGGGATTTAGGGGATTGGAGTTCACGTCTAAAGTCGCCGAGTCAATGCCTGACTCGATGAGTTGGGTCAAAAGGGTGGCCATGGACCAATGTTGACCAGAGTTGACTTGTATTGACTTAAGGGCAATAGTCAAACTAAGTCGGGGAGGTATTAATTAGAGATGTATTTATGCCATAGGAGGAAGCTAGGTCGGAAGATTGAGCGCGAGTGATCACCCGATAACTTCAAGGTGAGTCTTCTCACTATGCCTTACCCGATGGGGTGATTATGTGTGACCGGAAGGTCTTATGTGTGTGATGAAAATGTGATGTATTTTGTATATGTAATATGTTATGATATGAGTATGATGATATGGACCAGAAGGTCAACTGAGTATGGACCGAAAGGTCAACAGAGTTAGGGGATGGAAATCCCCTAAGACACTTGGATCGGAAGATCCTATAGAGTTATGGCCTGGAAAGGCATATGTGTTGTACGTGATATTTTGGGGAACTCACTAAGCATTATTGCTTACCGTTTGCGTGCTATGTGTTTCAGATACCTATGATGATCGCGGGAAGGCGTCGACATGATCAGTACACACTTATGGTGGAGATGTTTTGAGATTCTGGGGATTTTGATTTGCACTTATGTTATGTAAAAACAATTGATACACGTTTTTGAGATTTGTGATTGGAGTATTTTTATTAATTTAAAATGAAAAATTGTTTTGAAATTTCACGGTGTTACAAAGGAGCCCAGATCTACCTGTTGGATGAGAGTTGTACATCAAAAACCGAGTTTTGGTCATGGACATTAGTCGACTTGGCGAGTCAGGGGTTTAGGTTACCAACCTTCTATGATTCGAGGGAATCCAGTTTAGTTTACAAGGGATTTAGATGAGTCCAGAGGAGGGATTCAGCGAAATGGACATGGTTATGGACCTGGAAACCATGGGACTCGGTGAATGCATGAACGTACTCAGCGAGTCCAAGGCAATCTCCCAATCCATGAAGATGGACTCAACGAGTTGTTCATACAACTCGGCAAGTCACAGACTAGTAGCACTTACGATGAAGATGAACTCGACGAATTCAAGGTTGAAGTCGGCGAGTCAGTTGAAGATTATCTCGATATCAGTTGAAGGAGAACTCGCCGAGTTCTTACTAGACTCGATGAGTAGAGTCGGGTTGGGGCAGGGGAAAGTATAGGGACTCGGCGAGTCGAGTCAACTAAATGTT